TGTGTACCTATAGCTTATTCATGTTGACATATGGCAGAAACCAACACAATATTGTGAAGCAATTATCCTCCAACTAAAAATAAATAAATTTTTAAAAAAAAAAAACAGCTTGTAGTTTGAATTATTTCTTTAATAATGAGAATGGATTTTGGCTAACTATACTTTCCATTTAATATTCTTCACTTTTTCTTGAGTCAATTTAGGAGGACTTTGAATAGAACAAAGCTATCCTATATGGTAAAGTGTTAGTCACTCAGTCATGTCCAACTCTTTGTGACCCTCATGGACTGTAGCCCACCAGTCTCCTCTGTTCACCAAATCTTCCAAGCAAAAATACTGGAGTGGGTGGCCATTCCTTCTCCTGGGGATCTTCCTGACCCAGGGATTGAAGCCAGGTCTCCTGTATTGCAGATGGATTCTTCACTGTCTGAGCCACCAGGGAAGCCCATATGGTAACAAGTCATAATCTAAACCTCTTGTACCACATGCTTTTGAGCGAAACCAAGTGTCCTCGTTACAGGAAAAAAATGTTCAAGATTATCTTTAGATGTTAAGATACTAGACCTGCTTTAAATAAAATAAGTTCAATACATATATACTTATAAATTACATCCTTAAGGAGCATAATTTCAGTCAACCCTATAAATTGTATGGCACGGTAGAAAAAGTACCAGATATACAGTAAAATAATGTGTATACTAAAATTATTTTTTGAACAAAGTATTAACCTCTCCATATCTGTTTCTTCACCAAAAAAAAAAAAAAGAAAGAAAGAAAGAAAAGAAAATTAGAGTAGAAACCAGAGCAGAGAGTAGTTGGTGGCTTCTTTGTGTATTAGTCAAAGTTTGTTCCAAACCCTAAATTTACTCAAGCTGGCTTAGGCCAAAAAAAAAAAAAAAAGAAAGAAAGAAAGAAAAGAAAATTAGAGTAGAAACCAGAGCAGAGAGTAGTTGGTGGCTTCTTTGTGTATTAGTCAAAGTTCTTCTGGTTCCAAACCCTAAATTTACTCAAGCTGGCTTAGGCAATAAAAAAGAACTTTTTTAACAAACAAAAAAAGAGAGAGAGAGATGCTGAAAAATTAAAGGGAGGAGTAGTAACACATCACTAGGATCTTATTCAGTTCTATTCATGCTTTTCTGATACATACATCTCAACCTTGACCACAGATGAGGAATGGGCTTTGCTTAAATTGTTTACATCAGTTCAAGAACCAGAAAGAACCTGTCTACAAATATTTATTATAAAGTCATAGATTAATCTGTGTAAATTTTTTCCAAATGGTAATATACAACTTTCTGAGGTCTAGACAGACTTTATCTGTGGCATACAGTGTTACCAGCAGCCACACATGTTATTTTGGGAAAATTGGGGGATCTAAGAAAAGCTACTTTGTAATGTGCTGTTTCTTCCCCTACCTCATGTGGCTACCTTTTTTCAGCTAAATTTTTGTGTTCTTTGCTAAATAAATCAAGCATTTAATCTGTGAGTTTGTGTGCATGCATTCACACAGAGACAGAGGATCTCTTACCACCAATCTATAACTTGCCTGAAAAGACACTTAAATAACCAAAATGTCCATTATTAAAATAAAAATAAAATATCCCTAACTTCAGTCTTGCAATCACCAGAAAGCATTTTGCTTTTATACATCTCTACTCCTTTAATTATATTGTTCCTCATCCTAAAACACACATACTTGCCTCCTCCTCTCCTCTCCTCTCTTACCTTCATCAATTCCCACTACCTCATCCCCCAGAAACAAAAGGGGAAACTAAGCAGATGTGTAGCAGGTGTTCACAACAATAGTACTTACCATTATGCCATATTTGTTTCTTTTTGTGTTTATTCCTCTGCTGAATGGTATGCCAGAAAAGAGCCAGATGGGTTTTTTTCATATTTAAACATCCAGAGCCTAGAAAGCATTTATTAAAATCTGTAAATATGTATTTATTTAGAAATGGAATTTGACATAAAAATATGCCCAGGATGAAGACACCGAATATCTAGTTGTCTGTAATGCTCTGCCCTCTCTTACCTCTCATATATTCATGTAATCACTTTGGTCAACTTTCTATGCCCAACTTGAAACGTCCCATATGTAGGGCTAGTTTCTCCTAGAAGCAAAACTAGTTTCCCCATTTTCTCTCACTTCCTCCAGCCTTACTTCAAAGATCCAGTACTTGGTCCCCTTCAAAGCCAAAAGTATCTATCCCAGGAGAAAATGAATTGAAATACACTTGTAACTATAAAAGGCTCAAACCCTGGCTGTGGGAGTGTTATTTGCAAAGTGAAGAACAATGTTGCCTCTGCACTTAACTATTATCATCGCTACTCCATTCAAGGCACTAACCAAAGATGGAAAACCCCAGCTTGAGCTTTGATTAACCCTACTTGAAATTTATTAGCATTTGATAAATGTCACTCTTGACAACACTGCTTATCCTCTAAAAGTAGCTACTTTTTCCTATTTTCATGGCCATATCACAGTAGTTTTAGATGTTCAAATTATGGGGTAGTAACTCTGATGTTGGAATTAGGAAAAGGAGTGTTGCTGTTTAGTTGCTAAGTCGTATCCAACTCTTCTGCAACCCCCAGAACTGTAACACCCCAGGTGCCTCTGTCCATGGAATTTCCCAGGCAAGAATACTGGAATGGGTTGTTTCATCCTTCTCCAGGAGATCTTCCTCAACCAGGGATCGAACCCACGTGTCCTGCACTGGCAGGCAGATTTTTTACCACTGAGCCACCAGGGAAGCCCAAGAAGAGTAGCCAGATCCAATAGTGATGTTACTCAAGAATGGCTTTATAAGGGGACATTCTTAGAGTAGGTGCCACTGTCCAGCATCTGCTTCTCAGCCACTAGCTTCTCAGTCCCTCCAGAGATAATTAGATCCTTGATAACAGATCAGCTATAACTAAAATCACATACCTTACTTATCAGAATGTCTATAGTTTCTTTCTAGAAATCAGTTATCCTTTTCAGTGACAGCACCCTCTTTCCTAAAAATAGCCATTGTCTGAAGTTGTAGCTTAACACAAGTCAGTCTGTACCACTGATTAAACCTTCCTGATGTGTTCCTTGTGGCTTGAAATTTATTATCTTTTATCTTTAGTTTATCTTTACATTCTTTGTTTTATTTTCTGGAGTCTCAATAGACTGTTAACCTATTTGCCTGGGTTTTTCCCAAAATAGTGTGGAGGCATTCACTGACTGGATCTTCTATCCAGCTAGTGAGAGGGCAAACTAAATTCCCAAATATACAAAGCTGAAGATGTGGCAGAATAACCACTACTATTTATTTCTGTTCAAGAGGACGATACTAAACTACCCGATTTAAGTAGTACAGACGTTGATATATTTTAATACAACAAAGTCACATTATTTCAATTTAAAGACAGGCCTTTTATATGATAAAAAATACTTTCTCCAGCAACTCTGCCAGTGAAGATCTATTCAGTGGAAGGTTGAAATTCTAACTCTAGCCTTTTGCCAGCTGGTGATATTGAGCAATATACTGAGAGTCTCTGGGCTTTCCTCAGTACAGTTAGAAATCAGTTATCCTTTTCAGTGACAGCACCCTCTTTCCTAAAAATAGCCATTGTCTGAAGTTGTAGCTTAACACAAGTCAGTCTGTACCACTGATTAAACCTTCCTGATGTGTTCCTTGTGGCTTGAAATTTATTATCTTTTATCTTTAGTTTATCTTTACATTCTTTGTTTTATTTTCTGGAGTCTCAATAGACTGTTAACCTATTTGCCTGGGTTTTTCCCAAAATAGTGTGGAGGCATTCACTGACTGGATCTTCTATCCAGCTAGTGAGAGGGCAAACTAAATTCCCAAATATACAAAGCTGAAGATGTGGCAGAATAACCACTACTATTTATTTCTGTTCAAGAGGACGATACTAAACTACCCGATTTAAGTAGTACAGACGTTGATATATTTTAATACAACAAAGTCACATTATTTCAATTTAAAGACAGGCCTTCTATATGATAAAAAATACTTTCTCCAGCAACTCTGCCAGTGAAGATCTATTCAGTGGAAGGTTGAAATTCTAACTCTAGCCTTTTGCCAGCTGGTGATATTGAGCAATATACTGAGAGTCTCTGGGCTTTCCTCAGTACAGAGGTTAGGATCCGAAGTCAGTAAGTGTGGGGGAGGGGGTGAGAGCCTCTCATAATTATCTTCGAAAAATCACTTGAATTACACAGTAAACCTTATGGGCACTAAATTTTGCTAAAACACTTAACAAATAAAAAGGAATGTATATATACATTTCGGGCTTCCCAGGTAGCTAGTGGGTAAAAAATCCTCCTGCCAACACAGGAGCGGGGGGTTCGATCCCTGGGTGGGGAAGATCCCTGAAGAAGGAAATAGAAACGCACTCCGGTATTCTTGCCTGGAAAATTCCATGGCCAGGGGACCGCGGAGGGCTACAGTCCCTTCAGTAGCAAAAAAAAGTCCGACACGACTAAGCGACTAAAGAACAAAACAAAATATGCATATGTCTAGGCATTAAAGTCATTCTGGTTTTAACTCTAAAATCACTAACAGTGAACAGAGTACGGCTAGAAAACACAACTCCAGTGCTTAATAAATATTAATGTTCTTCCTTTCTTCTGCCCTACAGCCTAAGAGCAAGTCTTCCAGAGCGGTCGTTTTAATGCGGTTATGCCTGAGGCGTAGATATTTATCCAGCGAAACTCAAAGGTAAGAAACTTTGTAACCCGCTCAGGGTTCTCTTCCTGACACTGGCACTTAGAGGCGCCTCGCTAAACACAAGGATGAATTATTATTTACCACAGATTAGAGCCTGGGCCATTTCAGTGTAATAACACCTCAGAAATTTTAAAACAAAAACTTGTTACACATTTCACTACCTCAGAGCGAAACCGGCCCCGGAAAAACTTGCCCCAATCCTCCCGGCTTCCGTAATCTCGCTCAATTTCGCGATACCAAAACTGCGCTCCGCAGCACCGCCGCTGGGGGGCGGTTCCAGAACACTTCCGGGAGGCCACTCTGGAGGTGTCTGCGATGTGTGCTTCCGGCGGCTTCCAGGCCGCTTCCTCAGCCTCCACGACCACGGCCTGAAGTAGTGGGCACCGAGCCGGGGGCTGGGAGCCCACTGGCCTTTGGTCACGACAGTTTCTAGCCATGGACCGAGACCTCTTGCGGCAGTCACTAAATTTCCACGGCCCGTCTTTGCTCTCCCTGCTCCGGAGCGAACAGCAGGACAACCCACACTTCCGGAGCCTCCTGGGGTCGGTAGCCGACCCTGCCCGGGGCCCGCCGGGCCAGCAGCAGTTACCGGGCAGGTAATGGGACGGCGGCGCCGCTGCGAGACGGGAGAGGGGACGCAGCTCCGGGCTTCATTACCGCAGTCCGGCTGCTGAGCCGAGGCTGTGAGCACGTGAGCACTGCGGCGCCGGCTTCGAGGGCAGGATGGAGGAGGATACCTTCTCCCTGATGTGGGCAATGCGGGATGTGGGTTGAACTTTTAAATCTAGTACTGCCACCAGAGGCGCGGATTCTTTAGCTAAAATCCTTTGGGCTTGTGTCTATCTGAAACAGCGCGGTTGTTTTTTTAAGTTTCCGCGCCCTCCATCTACAGACTGGCGTATGAGGGGATCCCTGGTTAAAACTTTTTTTCGGAGGATGTGTGGCCAAGAGCTTAGGATGGTCACGATTGGGCGATTAAAGCAGAGAGCAGAAGCTTGTACGTACTAAAAACTTTTGCAGAAAAACCAATTTTCATAAATTTTGTTTTCTTTTTAAGAAAAGAGAGGAGAGTTGACAACATTGAAATACAAAAATTCATTTCCAAAAAAGCGGATCTGCTTTTCGCACTTTCCTGGAAATCAGATGCACCTACAACTGCTGAAGTTAGTGAAGACAATGATGGTGTGTTTAGTCTTAAAATTGTTGCGTTTTGGTTTAACAGCACTTTGATGAAGCAGAATACAGAGCTGTTGTTAGTAATTCTGTTACTTATTTTTTCAGATTATTATGCAGTCATGCCACCGTTAGAGCAATTCATGGAGATACCTAGTATGGACCGGAGAGAGCTGTTTTTTCGAGATATTGAGCGTGGTGATATAGTGATTGGAAGAATTAGTTCCATTCGGGAATTTGGGTTTTTCATGGTGTTGATTTGTCTAGGCAGTGGCATTATGAGAGATATATCCCACTTAGAAATCACAGTAAGTTATTCACCTTTTAGTTATTTAATTGTTTTTTATAAAAATGTCATCTTAGTGCAAAAATTATAACTTTTCATCCAGCTGTAATTAAGTGTACTCTGCAGACCTAGTTTTTAGAATTAAATAAGTGTTAATAGAAAAATTAATTACTTTTTAATTTTTAAAAAAATTATTAGCAGTAATAGAATTACAGTTTCTGCCACCGTTTCTAGTTTGGGGGGTTTAGTCCTTTGTCTGGCAGAAGTGGGGTCCTTTTTTAAATGCTCAGGTATTAGTGGACCTGGTGAGATTAGTTAGTAGTCAGGGTTATTTCTTCTAGCTGAAAAGTCTTTAATTATTTAGTATTCAGCATTAGATACTTGCATGTGGATAATTTAGAAACAAATTCCTGTCTTCCTGTCTTAAGCATATGTATTTCCAATAATTAAGTGATTTGTACATCATGATACTTTGCCCAAGGTGAATAGATCTAAATTTGAAATACAGTATGTCACTTTAATTTGAAAGGTTTGATATTATCTATTAAGGCAGATAGAGAGGGAAGAAAACCAGAAAATGCCACAAACTTGATAACACACCTGAACCTAGAAGAAGTCACATTTCATTTTCTTTGAAAGTCTCCTACTTTCTGGACAGATTTTAGTTTTATATTTAATAAGCACAAAATATCTTTTTGTTTTATCATGCATACTTATATTCAGTTTCTAAAACTAATTGCAAGTTTCATGAGAGTTTAGCTTTGACCTAAACCAGAAAACTTTTTGTTTATGTTTGGGCACAGAAGTTTAAATTTAGACTCTAGAGTGCTAGTTGTTTTCTTAATATTCCCGTCAAGTGTTAGCTGTTTATACTGAACTGCTAGAATAAAAGAAGACACTTCTCATTGAAGAATAGAATGTCTAGTGTTTTACAGTGCTTCTCATTGCAGGCTCTATGTCCTCTAAGAGACATGCCTTCAATCAGTAACCATGGGGATCCCTTGTCATATTACCAAACTGGTGACATCATTCGAGGTGATCAGTTTCCTCATATTAGTAAAAAAAAAGTAACTGTGGTCATGTTTATGTTAGTTTGCATTGCTTTGCTAATCAACTTAATTTTCTTATTTTTTAAGCTGGAATCAAGGATATTGACAGATACCATGAAAAGCTTGCAGTGTCTCTATATAGCTCATCTCTTCCACCACACCTGTCTGGTACTAAATTAGGTGTAATTAGTTCTGAAGAACTTCCTTTGTACTACAGGTAATTTTATCCACATTATCTCAACAAGTTAATTGCAAAACAGTTTCTTGGCTAAAAAATTGCAGATTTTGCCCAACTTCTAACAAGAAAGTAGAATTCTAATTTCTATTATTTCAAAAAATGCTAATTTTATTTTTATAACCCAGAAATCAGTTCAAACTTGGTAAAAGGAACCAAATCATAATTGCCACACCTTCATGTACAAAAATGGTCTGAGTATTTAAATCCCATATAATAATGTTATTTCCATAATGAAAATAGGACACACTGTTTAATTGTGTTAATCATCTTTATATTTTGTGATTTTTTTTTTTTTTTTTTTTTTTTTTTTTTTTTTTTTTAAGGAAAAGCGTTGAACTAAATAGCAATTCTTTGGAATCCTATGAGAATATCATGCAGAGTTCTTTGGGATTTGTTAATCCAGGAGTAGTTGAATTCCTTTTAGGAAAACTAGGAATAGATGAATCTAATCCACCATCTTTAATGAGAGGCCTTCAAAGGTATAGTAAATCAGTATTGTTCTGTTAAGTGGTGAGGTCTGTGGTGCTGATGTGAGAAGCTGCATAACTGAAGAACATAGTTGATTATCCTAAGCTTGGTGGCCAGCAGTATGCCAACGTTTGAATGAACTCAGTGATTCCTTCTCCTTTTGGAGTGGAGTCTTAGCAGTGATTGATGTGTGCCATGTTACCAGGTAGATGCAGAAAAAAATCTATAAGATGCAGAAAATTTATAAGAATTTTATGTATATGCTAAAGGAAAATACTTTTTTAAATAATCATTCCTGAGAGTTCAAAAATTTTGCATTATAAATTGGAATACAGATTTCTTGCTTGAGATTCAGTTTTTATCTGTCAGGTAAAGTGAGATGTAGTTAACCAAAAAAATATTTACAGTTTGACTTTTATTTTCTTTAATAGCAAAAATTTCTCTGAGGATGATTTTGCTTCTGCATTAAGGAAGAAGCAGTCTGCATCATGGGCTTTAAAATGGTATGAAGATTTTGTCATTCAACAATTGCATTATTTAACCTAATAGGTTAAGTTAAGGCAAGCATGCTTATGTCATCTTTAAGACAAAATTTGTTTATTAATGAATTTAAATGATACCTTTTTGAGATTAGCTTTTTTATAGATATAAATGCTACTATGTTGTAAACCTTAAAGATTTACATTTTAGCCAATATTTTTTAATTTTGTTAAAAAGGAATTAATATATTGATATCTGGATTTCATAAATATTTGTTACAAAATTATCCAAAGACTGTTATGAAATTATGCAAATACTGAGAATATTGAAGACTAATAACTAATAAATTTGGTTTGCTTTAAAATTTTATTTATGCTAACATTTTGTTTGGATATTCTGTGAAATATTTGTTATGTATGCTTTAAAATATATTTTTAGTGTGAAGATTGGAGTTGATTATTTTAAGGTTGGACGCCATGTGGATGCTATGAATGAATACAATAAGGCTCTGGAAATAGACAAACAAAATGTGGAAGCTTTGGTAGCTCGTGGAGCATTGTAAGTGGATCATGGGTTTTGAGGAATATTTAGAAGATAAATGTGTATAAGATTTATGAATAGCTCACAAGATAAATTCCTCTAATTTTGTCTCATATCTATAGATATGCAACAAAAGGAAGTCTGAACAAAGCAATAGAAGATTTTGAACTTGCACTGGAAAACTGTCCAACTCACAGAAATGCAAGAAAATACCTCTGCCAGACACTTGTAGAAAGAGGAGGGCAGTAAGTGTCAGATTTGTTTAATAGTAGAGATCTAATATTTAATAGCCAACTACTATAAAATCTTGGACTTAAAGAAATAGCATCTTTGACTTAGCTCAGATACTCTTAGTTTCAGTTTTGATTGAAAATGTTTTTTAAATATAGTCCTTTTTACATTTTCTGGTCCTTTTATCCTTCCTTATTACTTTCTTCATGATTGGAGATATTTTAGTGTCTTGAGTTCACTGTTCTGAGTATGTATTTTAATACATAGAAAGATAATAGGTAAATCTTATCCTGGGCACACACCAAAAGTTTTTGTTTAATAGAAATTTCTAACTCATTTCATCATTCTAGTAATTATAATGCCAGAAATATAAATTGAGAACTCTGTAGTTCATTGTATATAAGATTTCACTGTTGTAGTCAACTTACTGCTCTACTTTGTTTAATAAAATCCATGAACTTAGATTAAATGAAGAGCAAAACATTAAGAACAAACCCTGTAACCTGTATTATACTGTGCTGAGATACTGGCAAAGTACTTGGCATAATGACTAACAGACTAGTCTAATTTATATTTTGAAGAAATATAATACTTTTAATAGAAATAATTTGGTAACAGCCTGCTTTAATAATTAAGGGCCACCATCTTTTTTGCTATCATTTTTTCTTAAATAGAATCATCCCTTTTCTACTTCATGAATTTGCCAGATCATTACAGTTTGTACGATCATTTCAGAACTCCATACAAATGAAATTTTGCAGTGTTTGTTTTTAACTGATAAGAACTTCTACTTGGACCCAAGTGATTGGAGCAGCTTTTTTTTTTCTTCCATAGCTTACATAACTGTGCTTAGTCGTTCAGTTTTCTGTCCAACTCTTTGCGACCCCATGGATTGTAGCCTGCCAGGTTTCTCTGTCCATGGGGATCCTCCAGGCAAGAATACTGGTGTGGTTGCCATGCCCTGCTCCAGGGGATCTTCCCAACCCAGGGATCAGACCCAGGTCTCCCGCACTGCTGGCAGATTCCTTAACATCTGAGCCACCAGGGAAGCCCCTAGGTACATAGCTAGTGCCTACTTAGATGTGGTTGTCTTACTATTCACATACTTGTGATTTTTAGCTCTGTGAATGGCAACACCGTCTATTTGGTCATCCAGTCCAGAAATCTTGATCATCTTTGGCTTGTTCCTTCTTCCCCTCATCCTATCTGACACAGAAGTGATTGCATTGAAACCACTGGGTTTATTCATTTGTTTTACAGTGAATACCTTTTCCTGCTTTCTAAAAACTGAAAATATTGTGCAAAATCCTTTCACTGATCTGTGTCTAAACTTTCTAATTCTGATATTTCACAACATAGACTTGTGAGCATCATCTAATGATAATGATGATTATTCTTTCTGCAGGCTGGTTGTGATATGTGTGCCTTGGTATTTGTGATTTTAGCAGTGAATTTTCAGGGAAAATTTTTCTGTAGAAAGGAAAACTCTCCATAAACTACTAGGCGAAGCCAGCCTACATAATTCTGTGCTAAAGCTCAAGATCATACTAAATTTCAGAGGGTGTCAGTTGATCGTGTGTTTTCACAAATTATATTAAAATGCCACTGCTTGACCTACAGTATGGCTTTAGTTATCAGTAATGAATTCCTGTTTGTTTTTTTATTTGTTTGAGATATAGTTGACGCATAACTTTTATGTTAGTTTCAGGTTATGTTCAACATAGGATTAACCATTGTGTCTGGTTAACATTCATCATCACACAGTTACATTTTTTTTCTTGTAATGAGAACTTTGAAGATGTACTCTTTTTGCAACTTTCAGATATACAGTATGGTACTACCTATAATCACCATGCTGTATATTACATCCTCAGGACTTTATTTTATACCTGGAAGTTTATAAAATGAACCATTTTCACCCATTTTACCAACCTCCAACCCCACCTCCAGCAACCACGAGTCTATTCTCTGTGAGTTCAGTTTCTCTGATTTGTTTTATGTGGTTTTATATTGTCTTTTACAACAACACTAACAAAAAAATAGCAGAAGCACAGTATTTAAGTATTGTTAAATTTGGAAAATTATTTGCTAAACATAGTTTTTCCCTAATGAACTCACATAAGCTTCTGCCCTATATGCATATTTGAGAACTTCTAATTTTTACCAAAAAAGCTAAATTTTTCTTTTGAATTTAGGTTAGAAGAAGAAGAAAAGTTTTTAAATGCTGAAAGTTATTATAAGAAGGCTTTGGCTTTGGATGAAACTTTCAAAGATGCAGAGGATGCTTTGCAGAAGCTTCATATATATATGCAGGTGATTCTTTATTTCCTCTTAGAAATGTAGTCATTTTTAAAATTAATGCCAAAACTTAACTTTCTTCTAGGGAAACTATTCTAGATCACTTAATTATGGCATTATGAAAAGTTTCTTAGATACAGCTTTTCTTAATTGGGTTTGACATTACTTCATAGTTTTGTTGAGAAATTCCCATTGCCTACTTGGTATGCAGTTGTCCTTGTAGAATTATCCTTGTAGTGAACTTTCCTGATGGTTACAAAATTCAGTATTATTACTGTAATTGAACTAATTATAAAAACCGTTCTGAAAAATATTTTAAACTGTCTTTTCCTGTAATACTGATGATGATGTTTTCTCATGCATTTTCTTCTGAATTGGACCATTGCTGCTGTGTCTGACATCTGGTGCTGCTCATCCCCATCCTCAAACTGGAAAATGATTTCTTATGTAACCATGCATCCAACTGGGCTGTGCTATTTTTTAAATGGTTTGTATTTGAACATGGTGATTCCCTTCTCAACTCACCATATCGGGTGATTCTTCCTTTGAATTTTATTTATAAAATTTGTGTCCTGTTTCAATTTTTAATGTTTTTTTTATATATATTTTTTTCATGGATTTTATTTTTTCTCTTTCTTGCACTCTGGGTCATGGGTATCAATGCGCAATGGCTTCCCTTTTTTTTCATGGAATACCGACTGCAATATGGTCCTCAATACTGTTCTGGCTATTCAATGATTAATGCCAAACACCTGTGATTAATTTTTATATGTTAAAAATACTTTTTTAATGCTGGATATATGGTGATTTGGGTATACCACATTTGGTTTCTGGTTGGGGGGTGGGTTGGTCTTTTGAAAACTGGATTTTATATATTCTGCTATTTTTAACGTGTGGTTTTTTCCGATATCTGGGTTCTAAAAGAAATCTTTGGAATTAAGAGAAAAACAAGCTGAAAAGGAAGAAAAGCAGAAAACAAAGAAAATAGAAACAAGTGCAGAAAAGTTGCGTAAGCTCTTAAAAGAGGAGAAAAGGTAAACTATAATATTCAGTATTTTAAAACTTAAAGCAAGTACTCAGTTGAACCAAAGTGCCATTTGGGAGATAAAGTAAGTAAAAAATTAAAGTGTTTCAAGTCATAATCAATGATTCTTAGCAATTATGTGTACCATAAATTTTTCTATAAAAGAGATAAAGCAAAATAGAATGGATGGCTAGAATTCTGCAAAAAAAAAAATTAGAATTAAAATATTATTTTAATTAGCTGCATTTTAGGGAGAAATGTTTCAGAATTAGAGCAGTAGTTCTCAACTGGGTGTGGTTTCCCATGGGACATTTTTGGTTTTCTTAACTGATAGGTGCTACTGGCATCTAGTGGATAGATGTCAGAGATGCTGCTAAACTTAAACAGTGATGTAGAATTTCACCACTCCCTGCCCTCCCAGCAAAGAGTTATTTGGCCAAAAATGTTAATAGTCCTGAGGTGGTAAAACCATGAACTCAGTTCAGTTCACTCACTCAGTCCTGTCCGACTCTTGCGACCCCATGAATTGCAGCACACCAGGCCTCCCTGTCCATCACCAACTCCAGCTTTACTCAAACTCGTATCTGTCGAGTTGGTGATGCCATCCTGCCATCTCATCCTCTGTCGTTCCCTTCTCCTCCTGCCCCCAATCCCTCCCAGCATCAGGGTCTCTTCCAATGAGTCAACTCTTCGCATGAGGTGGCCAAAGTAGCCAGATGTAAAATGTTGGTTCTATAATTTATGTATTCAGATGGTCTTAAATTTTTAAGGTAATTTTAGAAATGTCACCATGTATTTCAAAAATGATGGATTTGCTTTCAGTGACAATTGTCTACACAAGTATTTTTCCAAAAGTCACGACTAATGGTAAAATTGGATATTGTAGTAAAAACTAAACTTACTACTATAATTCTTATATAAGCCACAAACTTATATGAAATCTTTAAAGAGAATAAAATAGAACTAAAATCTTATGGGTAATTAAACATTTTTATACTCAACATATCTGATGAGTTAACTACATTTTTTTAGGCTAAAGAAAAAAAGAAGAAAATCAACTTCTTCTTCGAGTGTCTCTTCTGCTGATGAATCAGTTTCTTCTTCATCATCCTCTTCATCTTCTGGTCACAAAAGGCATAAGAAACACAAGAGGAACCGCTCAGAGTCTTCTCGGAGTTCTAAAAGGCATTCAGCTAAGGCATCCTCAAGTCAGATAGATCAGAGTAAGAAAGATGAGTGCTTCCCAGTTCCAGCTAATACGTCAGCATCTTTTCTTAACCAAAAACAAGAAGTGGAAAAACTATTGGAAAAGCAGGATAGGTTACCATATCAAAAGAAACAGGTAAAAGAAAAAGATAAATGTTCTTTCTCATCATCTTCTGTTGAAATTCCGGATGATTTTGGAGGTAGGTCTGAAGATCCAAGAGATTTTTATGATAGCTATAAAACTCAGGCAGGTAGTAGCAGAACAGAAAAGCCATATAAATCAGAAAGACATTTTTCCAGTAGAAGAGATTCCTCAGATTCTTTTCATAGGAATTCAGAGGATAAGGTAAAAATGTATGGTTATAGAAGATTTGAAAAAGATACAGAAGGAAGAAAAGAGCACTATAGAAAGTGGGAGCCAGGTTCCACGAGACATGCTACCTCACCAGCAAGCTCAGACTACTCTTGGAAGTCAGGAGAAAAATATAAGAAATCCACTTACTCGGGATCACGTGATCTAAGTAGACATGAGCAAAGATATCAATTAAATAAAAACCAAGGAGAATATGAAAGAGAGGGTAATTACGTGGAGGATATTAAAACAGAGGTTCAGGGAGAGGGACTCAATAGCAAAGACCATTCAGAAGGTGGAGTTAAAAAAAATTTACCTCAAAATTTACTCAATATATTTAATCAGATAGCTGCATTTGAGAAAGAAAAAGGAAATAAGCCAAAAAACTAATATGCCAAGGGTATCCTCAACATTACACTAAAGACTTTTAATAAAATATTTGGATCTTTTAGTAATACAGTCCAGTGCAGAAATCTCTGCTCCCATGATTTTTATTTGTAGACATTATGGAAGTCAATTGCTTTTTATAGCGGTTCTCAAGGTATATTTGTTTCAGTTATAGGTCCCCTTTTCATAGCTTGATTTTTTTTTTAATGTGTGTATGTTATGTACAGTTATTTCTTATTCTCATGGTTTAAACTTCTTCACCTAAAGATAACTCTCAAAGTATTGTTTCTTCATTGTACTACGGTATATTAGAATTCCTCGGGTTCACCTTATCTTGCTGTTTGAGAAAATATTAAATTTGTGCATTGAACACTTGGATCATTTTTATCAAAAATTATTTCATTCTGTTAAAAGCTCTTGACTTTCTAAAGAGATTATTTGAATGTTAAATACCATTTTATAATCATTATTGTTTAAAGGTGAATTTTCTTGCATAACATTTTTAAACAGTAGACAGATACGTGTCTTGTCTAATTGACCTCTAAAGCCTGATTTAATTAAAATGACTTATGTACCAGCTGTTTAAAAGTACTTTAGGAATAAAGCCATGAAAGTTGAATAGGGGCCCATCCTGCTCATCTCTCTTTTTTTCCTTCCTTGCTAACAGTGTAGCCCTAAGGAATGTCTTTAAATATTGACAAGACCATACATTCCCAACAAGAATAGATCAGAGTAGGAAAGAGACCTTTTAGCAAAAGCAGCAGTGGCAAGTGAAGCACACTATAAATCTGGTCTTCCACTAAGGGAAAGGAAGTGAGGAAACTCCTAGTGTTGCAGATGTCCAGCTGAGAAGGCCCTGAGTGTGTTTTTGATAGCCTAGAGCTGGCTTGCATTTCTGCTTTTCTTCCTAGAGTCTGAACAGATGATTCAGCTGACAGAACCTGGACTTAACTCAGAATTAATTTCAGCAACTAGAGCTGAAGAAGGAAGGAACTTGGATCATAATGATTCTTCCCAAATTATTAAAAACAGTATAGATGAGAGTAGAGATAGGGATACATAGGAGTCACAGGTGTTTGGAATCTCATAGGCTTTAGAATCTTTCCAATTCATGATGACACTGGATGGGTGGGTTGAAGGGTAGCGAGTATCCCCATCTACAAATGTCTAAGTGACAGAATGCTAGCAGAAGAAGACACTTAGTCCTTGTTCTGTCTCAGTTCTTGCCAGCAATAAAATACCAGAACTTAATATAACTTAACCATTCCACAAATACTTTGCTAGGCTTTGGTTGGTGGCTCAATAATAGGTAAAAGCTACTGTGCAATTCCAGGGCTTCCCTGATAGCCCAGTTAGTAAAGAATCGGCCTGCAATGCAGGAGACTCCAGTTCAATTCCTGGGTAGGAAAGATCGCTGGAGAAGGGATAAGCTACCCACTACACTATTTTTGGCCTGGAGAATTCCATGGACTGTATAGTCCATGGGGTCACAAAGAGTCAGACATGACTGAGTGACTTTTCATTTTCACTATGCAATTCCAGTGTGTTGGGCCCTGTGCCTTTATATAAATTACCTGATTTCAATAAACTTAACATAGATAACTTTTACTGTCTCTATATTATAAATGAGAAAGCATAGAGAAGTAACTTTCCCAAGGTCACAGTACTACTCCCTGCCTGCTTGGAATACAGTGTTTAATACTTCAACTTCCAGGTAATTTTCTAAGTAAACTAGGGCGAAGAATGAGAATTTTGGTGAACATTCGAAGTGATGGTAAGATTAATCAGTTTTTATATTTCACAAATCTCAATGGAATAATGTTTTACAAAAAAAAAAATTCAGCTTTTTACCCATCTTATTCATTGGACTTGGCTGTGCCTTTTGCTGCCTGTTACAAGAAATGACAGTAAATACTCCATTGATCCAGAGAAACAGGTTTACTACCATTACTGCCTTTCAGAAGGAATTGCAAGTGACAGTTCTAAACAATGACAGTTTCTGTAAGAAATACTTTTTCCCAAGATTTGAAGAAGACATTACTCATTTAATTATATATATTCTGATACATTTATTTGAAAACCAAATAATTGATTTAGTAAAATGATTTAGTAAAATGTTAAACTGTTCAAAAAAAAAAATGAAAACCAGTTTTATAACATAGTCATACTTCACCTTCTGTTCCAGAGTTCAAAGTGTTGGGCACATATTATGATAAAGAATTGACAGAAATAACTAATTCTTAATCTGGTAGTCTGCCTTTATTGGAAATATACAGAATTCCTATTGCAAATCTAATTACACCTGACTTTCTTTAAATTGTTTATTAATCAAGGAAATCTTGAAAACATATTCTTGGTTGTATCTAGAGAGCAGAATCTTCACTATGTTTGACTTATTTCAATATCAGAGTGGCCTGCTTCCTAGAAATTTAAGCTCCACTGTTGTTGATATATAGTGGTTCTCTTTCCTGTCAGCTGTTTTCTTGGTGGAGGGAGGGGGAGAGGTAATGCTAAAAGAAGTAACTAACAGGTTTCTTCTCCCAAAGTCTGAAAAATATGTTTCTTTTAATAAATAAAACCTAATTTCAGGATCATCTAGGCTAAAAGAATTTTAATAGTGTTATAAACTATATAGTACAGTAAATCTTTAGAGATTTCTTCCTAAAAGATTCTGTTACTCTAGAAGTGAGTAGTTTCATGGCTAGCATGAAGTTTTTACATTTTTCACTGGATAAAACTTTTCTCTGGTCATTTTGTATTTCTAACACTTATCTCAGTAGGCCTCTGTATCAGTATAAGGCACCCAAAAGCATAGGGTGTGATATGCTATTTTAAACTTAGGAGACTTTTGGTTTTGTGTTTACAGCTTGTTCAAGAGAGATTTAAAATGTTTATTTATTGGTCTTTCTGCTTTTACCAGTACTGGAGGAACTGCTAGCACTAGTTGGTCTGGAAGTGCTGCCAGTTAGCGGAGAGGCTGGGAAGTTCAGCTCTAATACTTTGATCGAAGTCTGAGAAGCAGAAGTGCTTGTACTCTTAGATGACCTAGAATAAAACCAGAATTACTGTAATGTAATTCAGAATTTTTATTTTAGTAGAGACCCCCTGCCATAATCCCACAACTACTTAAAGAGATCAAAAAAGATATACTGTTAAGAGTGCTAATAATGAGTTTTAAAAGATGACCATTAATAGTATCAGGAAATTAGTTTAAAAAGAAAAAGATGATAAACATAAGGTTTGAAATCAGTAGAAAAATAGTTCTGCAAATATATTTCTATTTAAAACATGTTTCAACTATACCTAATTTAGAATCATTAGGTATTAAAAGTTTGCCAAAATCATTCAAAAAAAGGTAAGAGGCAAGAAAACTTGAGTGCTGGCAAGAGTGATTAAAATGATAGGTTATATAATTTGAGCCAAAAAAAAGAAAGTGAGGGAACTATTGACAAGATAAAGTGGTGGTGTCATTTGAAAAGCATAACTATCCATACAATTCTGCTAAGTTTTGAAAGCATGCCTTTAAGAAAGTACTAGGGTGGAATGGGTGTTTTTAACTCAGATGACCATTATATCTACTACTGTGGGCAGGAATCCCTTAGAAGAAACGGAGTACCCATCATAGTCAACAAGAGTCCGAAATGCAGTGCATGGATGCAATCTCAAAAACAACAGAATGATCTCTGTTTGTTTCCAAGGCAAACCATTCAATATCACGGTAACCCAAATCTATGCCCTGACCAGTAACACTGAAGAAGCTGAAGTTGAACAGTTCTCTGAAGACCTACAAGACCTTTTAGAACTAACAGCCAAAAAAGATGTCCTTTTCATTATAGGGGACTAGAATGCAAAAAGTAGGAAGAAGAAACACCTGGAGTAACAGGCAAATTTGGCCTTAGAGTACAGAATGAAGCAGGGTAAAGGCTAATAGAGTTCTGCCAAGAGAACACTCTGGTCATAGCAAACACCCTCTTCTAACAACACAAGAGAAGACCCTACACATGGACATCACCAGATGTTTAACACCAAAATCAGACTGATTATATTCTATGCAGCCAAAAATTGAGAAGCTCTATCCAGTCAGCAAAAACAAGACCAGGAGCAGCTCAGATCATGAACTTCCTGCCAAATTCAGACTGAAATTGAAGAAAGTGGGGAAAATCACTAAACCATTCAGGTATGACCTAAATCAAATCCCATATGATTACAGTGGAAATGAGAAATATATTTAAGGGATTAGATCTGATAGAGTGTCTGATGAACTATGGATGGAGGTTCATGACACTGTACAGGAGACAGGGATCAAGGCCATCTCCAAGAAAAAGAAATGCAAAAAAGCAAGATGACTCTCTGAGAAGGCCTTACAAATAGCTGTGAAAAGAAGCTAAAAGCAAAAGAAAAAAGGAAAGATAGACCCGTTTGAATGCAGAGTTCCAAAGAATAGCAAGGAGAAACAAGAAAGCCTTCCTCAGTGATCAATGCAAAGAAATAGGAAAACAATAGAATGGGAAAGTCTAGAGATCTCTTCAAGAAACTTACAGATACCAAGGGAACATTTCATGCAAAGATGGGTTCAATAAAGGACAGAAATGATATGGACCTGACAGAAGCAGAAGATATTGAGAGGTGGCAAGAATACACAAGAACTGAACAAAAAAAAAATCTTTATGACCCAGATAATCACGATGGTTATCACCTAGAGCCAGACATCCTGAAATGTGAAGTCAAGTGGGCCTTAGGAAGCATCACTAGGAACAAAGGTAGTGGAGGTGATGGAATTCCAGTTGAGCTATTTCAAATCCTAAAAGATGATGCTGTGAAAGTGCTGCACTCAATATGTCAACAAATTTGAAAAACTCAGCAGTGGCCACAGACTGGAAAAGGTCATTGTTCGTTCCAATCCCTAAGAAAGGCAATGCCAAAGAATGCTCAAACTACCGTACAATTGCACTTATTTCACACGCCAGTAAAGTAATGCTCAAAATTCTCCAAGCCAGGCTTCAGCAATACGTGAACCATGAACTTCCAGATGTTCAAGATGGTTTTAGAAAAGGCAGAGGAAACAGAGACTAAATTGCCGGCATCTGCTGGATCATTGAAAAAGCAAGAGAGTTCCAGAAAAACATCTGCTTTATTGACTATGCCAAAACCTTTGACTGTGTGGATCACAAAATACTGTGGAACTTTCTAAAAGAGATTGGAATACCAGACTACCTGACTGCCTCTTGAGAAACATATGCAGGTTAGGAAGCAACAATTAGAATTGGACATAGAACAACAGACTGGTTCCAAATAGGAAAAGGAGTACGACAAGGCTGTATATTGTCCCCCTGCTCATTTAACTTAATATGCAGAGTACATCATGAGAAATGCTGAGCTGGAAGGAGCACAAGCTGGAGTCGTTTGCTGGGAGCAATATGAATAACCTCAGATACCAAGATGACACTACCCTTATGGAAGAAAGTGAAGAAGAACTAAAGAGCCTTTTGATGAAAATGAGAGGAAAGTGAAAAAGTTGGTTTAAAATTCAACATTCAGAAAACTAAGATCATGGCATCTGGTCCCATCACTTCATGGCAAATAGATGGGAAACTAGAAACAGTGGCTGACTTTATTTTGGGGGGTTCCAAAATAACTACAGATGGTGACTGCAGCCATGAAATTAAAAGATGCTTACTTCTTGGAAGGAAAGTTATGACTAACCTAGATGGCATATTAAAAAGCAGAGACATTACTTTGCCAACAAAGGTCCATCTGATCAAGGCTATGGTTTTTCCAGTAGTCATGTATGGATGTGAGAGTTGGACTATAAAGAGCTGAGCACTGAAGAATTGATGCTTTTGAACTGTGGTGTTGGAGAAGACTGTTGAGAGTCTCTTGGACTGCAAGGAGATCCAACCAGTCCATCCCAAAGGAGATCAGTCCTGGGTGTTTATTGGAAGGACTGATGTGGAAGCTGAAACTCTTAATACTCTGGCCACCTGATGCGAAGAGCTGACTGATTTGAAAAGACCCTGATGCTGGGAGGGATTGGGGACAGGAGGAGAAGGGGACGACAGAGGATAAGATGGTTGGATGGCATCACCGACTCAATGGACATGAGTTTGGGTAGACTCCAGGAGTTGGTGATGGACAGGGAGGCCTGGCGTTCTGTGGTTCATTGGGTCGCAAAGAGTCCTACACGACTGAGCGCCTGAACTGAATTGAACTGAGGGTGTTTAAGTGGGTGGTCACCATGTTTACATAGAAAGTGTTTTTGTTTTGTTTTACTTAAAAAATATTTTAGGAAATCCTTTCATGATATCTTGCTGTGGAGTAATGAAAAGTAATATGGTGCTGAATGTGGCAGATTGGGAATTTTAAGATGAGGATCATCTTTAATATTAATAATTATTATTTTGTCAGCAAGGCACAGGAATGTTGACTAAATGTCTACCTGATAGAATTCCGGGTAAAACTAAACTGTGGAAGTAAAAAATAATTTCCTTTTTAGCAAAACAAAGCAGCATAAATAAAATTCTGACTCTTTAGATTTTACAGTGGATTTTAATCTTATAAATCTTACTCAATATGTATGTACAACTAAGTGGTCCTTTTATGGTTTAATCAATTCTCCCTACACTCAGGGATGACCATGCTATGTGTATCATCCAAAATTTCACCGTGCTTATCCTGCTGAAATTGCTGATAGTCACAAAGCACTACATGTCAAACTGGAAATGGTGACACCAGACAGAAGGGAAGAGTCTTCTGCTGGTGGCTGGTTTCTGTCTCTGACACAAACATCAGAAGGCAGGGAAAGTGTGGGAGAGTATAGCAGTGCACTGGCAGGTCCAACAGCTATGGCATATGGAAGTGGCCGAATTTGCTTGGGATGGAAGATGTAACTGAGTGAATCAGGAGATGGTGTTTTCTCCTTCCACTTACCTTACTGATAACAGTGAAGTCTGGGAAGGAGATCTAGAACTGTGACGACTACCTTTAGTACTAGCTGTAGGTAGTTCTAAACCACTCTGGAAAAATATTCAAGAGCAATCATTAGTACCACTGCATTTCAGAATATTTTTCAGTAGATTTCATTTTATGTTGAATGCCATAATTTTTTCTTCATGAAATGTTTAAGAAATATTTGACTAGAAGATAACTCTTATTACCTGTTGAAAGTATGTTTGAAGGATAACACCGATCTCAGCATTTTCTTGTATGATATCAATTAACATTTCATCAATGATCTTGTGAAGCTGTTTCACTTCACGAAGTTTGATATCTTGTTCTTCTAGTGTTTCATCTTTTGTATCTTTCAAAAGACGGACTTCCTTGATGAGTTTTGCACACTGTTGGTCAACAGAAGTCAGTTATTTAAACTTATTTTCTAGAACTAAGTATTTTTTAATGGATGAAGAAAGATGTGAGGCTACCATTTGGAACTCCAAGACATAAATATGATAGGTCAGTTTTTTAAAGTTTCCAATACCTGTTTAGTTACTCTTTCTAATTTTGGCTTCTGTTCCTCAGTTTCTCTATTTAATTGAAGTACATAAGCTTGCTTCTCTGTTACTTTTTCTTTGACATTATTTGTTAAGTGTTCTATAACTGTTAAAGTATTTTTCATGCTCTGCAGAAAATAAATATTAACAAATTTATTGGTTAGGATCAGAAATGACTTTTATAATTGCCACTTGTCAAGTATTTAGTTCTGATTCCTTTGTTTTTGTATATATATGCTCGGTTGCTCAGTCGTGGCCAATTCTTTGCATATATAATGTACATTCTATTAGTAGATAATAAGTATAATGGTTTTATGGATTAAGTTTTATAGATAATTCCACTGAAAGGTTATTTTATGGTATCTTGGAGAAAAACAAACTGACTATTGAAAGCACACAATTTTCAAAGATTCCCAACTCATATCTATTCCTTGAATCAAAAAAAAAAAAAAAATCTCTGTAAGTGAGCTCAGTCATGTCCAGCTCTGTGACCCTTTCAACTATAGCCTGCCTGGCTCTTCTGTTCATGGGATTTTTCAGGGAAGAATACTGGAGTGGGTTGCCATTTCCTCCTCCAGTGGATCTTCCCAACCCAGGAATTGAACCCCTGTCTTGTGTCTGCTGCATTGGCAGGTGAATTCTTTACCACTGAGCAATCAGGGAAGCCCTTAAATGTTTATATAGCACCTGCTTATTACCAAGCACATTGTTTTCTCATCTTTCAAATTTTTGTTTTAAGGAACAGTCTTTTAAGGTGATTTTAAAGGATTTAATTGAAATAAAGATTAGTGGATAGATCATAGTTCAGCTCAGTTCAGTTCAGTCTCTCAGTCGTGTCCAACTCTTTGCAACCCCATGAATCGCAGCACACCAGGCCTCCCTGTCCATCACCAACTCTTGGAGTTTACTCAAACTCTTGTCCATCGAGTCGGTGATGCCATCCAACCATCTCATCCTCTGTTGTCCCCTTCTCCTCCTGCCCCCAATCTCTCCCAGCATCAGGGTCTTTTCCAATGAGTCAACTCTTCGCATGAGGTGGCCAATTTTTGGAGTTTCAGCTTCAGCATCAGTCCTTCCAATAAACACCCAGGACTAATCTCCTTTAGGCTGGACTGGTTGGATCTCCTTGCAGTCCAAGGGACTCTCAAGAGTCTTCTCCAATACTACAGTTCAAAAGCATCAATTCTTTGGCACTCAGCTTTCTTCACAGTCCAACTCTCAGATCATAGTTAGCTAGCTATAATTTATTGACTGGTTACCAAGTAATTGTCAGGGCTTAGCACTGGGATTTTAATTAGTTAATACTTTGATCACTTTTTTCTCATTTAAGTGAGATATCTCTAAATGCCTTTCTAAAAAATTATATATTAACAAGAGTAGAATAATTATAATAGTGATAGTTAACTTTTACTAAGGGCTTATTATTAAAGCCCTATAGAATTTACCTGGATATCTTCCTGTAGTTCTCTGATTTGTCTTTGTTTGTATCTGTATTTTTCATCAACAGCTCTTTTTTGTTCTTCTAGTTGAATTTTTACCTCATACTCAGCACCTAGAATTTAAAAGAATTTTTGCTTTAAATTTTTAACATGCTGTGTAGAAAGCAACTTTAAAATATTACATAATTTAAACTTCTAACATTTTTCATTATGAAAGGTCAACTTCCATATGTCTAATTTTTGAAAAATAGGATGTGAAATAACTATTCTTATATTGTCAACATAGAGCACCCAGTATGCTGCTGTTTTTTTCAGATTTGAAATGAACTCCATAGAGGAGTAATATGCCACATCACTACAACTAGTGACAGATGGAATTAACACCTTAGCACTTATTTTAAGTGGGGGAGGGAAGGGGCGTTGTGGTGATTAGGTTTTCCAGCTGAATCAAACATGATGCATATGTTTTCCTTATTGCATAGTGATCCTCTTTTAAAAATAACTATGCAGCTTTCATTGCATGTACATTCATTTAAAAGTTTCAATAATTTCTACATACTAGATGGAGTCACTTTCTGAAAAGATTGTTTGTAATTGTTGTTGCAGCTGTTGAGCACTTGCAGGGTGTTTCCGAGAGCATAGATTTCTTTCTCAGCCTTGTTGATCTTAGCATCCAAACTGTCACCTTCCCTTTGGAGTTCTTCTTTTTCTTGAGCAGCCTATTTAAAACAGAATAGACTAGATTGGTTAAAAGTATTTATCATGGTGGGGGTGCAGAAGAATGTCTGTGATCAGGGCAAGAAGTACTTAAGTCACACCAATACCAATTTGCCTTGGGACCTACATGCAGCACCAAGCATTTATTTCTTGTACTTGATTTACCAAATCCTGGATACAAAACCATGATGGGAGTTAACTAAAACTTACATGAAGACTCTTGAACAAAAATGACCAAAAAATTAAGCAGGTATAAACTTTACTAAGAAAAGAAAAGGTTAAGTTGAAGAGGTTTCAAACTAGATATTAAATAAAAGGAATGTATGTTTCTTTCCTGGAAGAGGCTTGGCACACTTTTGTCATTTTAAATCTTAGGAGTAAAAGAGGTTAGCAAGCTATACCCATGAAAGTGAAAGTGTTAGTTGCTCAGTTGTGTCCAACTCTGCAACCCCATGGACTGTAACCCACCAGGCTCCTCTGTCCATGGAATTCTCCAGGAAGAATATTGGAGTGGCTTGCCATTCACTCTCTAGGGGATCTTCCCACCCCAGGGATTGAATATTTTTAAGGGGAAAAACTACTGCATGATTCTACTTACGTGAGGTACTTAGAGTAATCAGATTCACAAAAGCAAAGTAGATTGGTGGTTGCCAGGGATTTCAGGGAGGGAGAAAGGGGGAGTTACTGTTTAACAGGTACAGTTTCAGTTCTGAAAGATAAAGTTCTGGAGACGGCTGTTGTGTTGACTGCACAACAATATGAATATGCTTAATACTACTGAACTGTACACTTAAAAACTATTAAAACAGCAAATTTTAAGCCCAATTTCATGTATATATTCCTGGAGAAGGAAATGGTAACCCACTCCAGTATCCTTGCCTGGGAAATCCCATGGACAAAGGAGCCTGGTTGGCTACAGTCCATGGGGTTGCAAAGAGTCAGAAGTGAGCAACTAACACTTCACTTCATGTATATATTATAATATTTTAAAACAGTTTTAATTAAAGATAATTATGATAAATGTGGCCAGGAACAATGAAGTCTATAAACTGCTGAAAACCAAAAATTCCTCAGTGAGTAGTCAGTGAACTTCTGGGCTTGGCCTTCTAGAGTTGTACCCAGTTCCAAAGCACTTCTCCAATTAAAGACTGAGAGAGACAGTATGCATATATATTTTTAAATGCCCCCATGAAAAGATGCTCCTTATCACTAATCATTACAGAAATTCAAATCAAAACTACAGTGAGATGCCACCTGAAACCAGTCAGAAATGCCATCATTATAAAGTCTAAAAATAACACATGCTAGAGGAAGTGTGAAGAAAAGGGACTCTTCCTACACTGTTGGTGGGAATGTAAATTGGTACTGCCACTGTGGAAGACCTGTATGACGGTTCCTGAAAAAACTAAAAATACAGTTGCCATATGATCCAACAATCCTACTCCTGGGCATATCTCATATAAAATGATAACTCAGAAAAGATACATGGACCCCTCTGTTCACAACATTAGTCACAAGACATGGAAACAACTTATATGTCCATGGACAGATGAATGGATAGATGTGGTACATATATACAATGGAATATTAACTCAGCTGTAGAAAAGAATGAGGAGAAGGCAATGGCAACCCACTCCAGTATTCTTGCCTGGAGAATCCCAGGGACAGCAGAGCCTGGTGGGCTGCTGTCTAAGGGGTCGCGAAGAGTCGGACTCGACTGAGCGACTTCACTTTCACTTTTCACTTTCATGCATTGGAGAAGGAAATGGCAACCCACTCCAGCATTCTTGCCTGGAGAATCCCAGGGACAGCAGAGCCTGGTGGGCTGCTGTCTAAGGGGTCGCGCAGAGTCAGACACGACTGAAGTGACTTAGCAGAAAAGAATTAAATGATGCAGTTTGCAGCAACATGGTGGACCTAGAGGTTATCATACTAAGTGAAGTAACAGCCAAATATCATATGATATCACTTACACGCAGACTCTAAAACAAGCCTATCTATGAAACAAACAGTCCCACAGACATATTAAACAGACTTGAAGTTGCAAAGGGTGGGGTAGAGGAGGAAAAGAGTGGGAGTTTGGGATTAGCAGATGCAAATTTAGCCACTGGCCCACCAGGGGAGTCCAGAAGACTGTTGGTTTTTAATGACTAATATGGTAAAAGCAGGGTTCAGGAATCAAACCTCTAGTTCTCATTTATTCTAAGCAAGCAAAAAGTTCTCACAGTCAACATTACTGCCTCCTTCAGACCTGATCAAATTTTACATAACTTAAGATCTATAGTTTTTAAAGTCCTTCTCAGGTTCACTATTGTGAAATTAATTATATTTTAGTTATCTTTCCTAAAGTGTTAAGATATTACAATTGGCTCAATTACTGAAGCAAATCTGTGATAAAATGTATTTCTAAAAATAAACATTGACATAGAGAACAGACGTGTGGTCACCAAGGGAGAAGGGGTGGGGAAGGGATAGGAGTTTGACATTAGCAGATGCAAACTAATATATACAGGCTGGAGAAACAACAAGATCCTATTGAATAAACCATAATGGGGAAGAATATTGGAACAAGAATATATGTATAACTGAATCACCTTGCTGCACAGCAGAAATTTAACACTAAACAAATCAACTATATTTTAATAAAGTTTCTTTTAAAAAAGTAGCGAAACCTATTTTTAGTCAAAATCAACTAATAATTTCTTTGGTAAAGTTATTCAATCCCAAGTATCTATCTTTAACTCAGAATGTGATCACTGGGAAAGTTTTGGTAACGTTTGGATTCTTAACATTTTTACTGTTTATTATTTTATTATGCCTCATGGTATACATTTTATATCAAATAAAAAGCTTAGCAAAAAAAAAAACAAACATTCTGAGATAAATTACATCTAATTCTTTCAAGTTGAGTCTAGAATTAGCAAACATTTCATTTAAAATATAGTGTAATGGGGAAAAGCTAGAATGAGTCAAAACAGCTAGATGTTAGTTGTAGATTTCCCACTAGTAAGCTGAATAGCATTAAATAATTTATTTCACTACTCCAAGTTCAGTTTGTCAAATAAAGGTGTTGGATTTGTTCATTTATACAAATTCTTGATCTAATTCTATATATATACCTTAAACTTCTAAACCTTTATGGTCCCATTTGCCTCTAAATCATCAATTATATAATGATTATATAATTATTGATGATTATATAATTATATAATAAAAAGAAAAGTTATTTGGAAGAAATGTTTATACCTTTCTGTCAACATTTTAAAGTAATTTAAATTACTTTAAAATTTAAATTTTAAAATTTAAAAGGCTGTTTCATTAAATTCTGATCAGAATTGAACTGTTTCCTTATAAAGATAAAAGGGAACTTGGAAATGTGATTTGAAAGATGCCAGACCTTCACTGATTGCTGATTATATTTTTTCTGACTTTTAAGAGTCAGATATAGAAGCTGCTAAGGTGGGAAAGATTGAAAGCAGGAGGAGAAGGGGACGGCGGGACAAGATGGTTGGATAGCATCACCAACTCAATGGACATGAGTTTGAGCAAGCTCCAGGAAAGTCTAGTGTGCTGTAGTCCATGGGCTCGCAAAGAGTCAGACATGACTGAGTGACTGAACAGTACAAGGTGGGTAAAAGGGAACACAACGATGTGTGTAACATAGACAAGGATACTTGCAGAACCAAAAATGAGGACTGTGGGTTGAACTGTTAACCTAAAAAAAATACAAGAAGTCCCAACCCCTCAGTACTTCAGAATGAGACCGTATATGGAAATAGGGTCTTCGCAGATGTAGTCAAGTTATGATGAACTCAATAGGGTAGGCCCTAGTCCACTATCCCTAGTGTCCTTACAAAAATGGGAAATTTGAACACAAACACAGACAAAGAAGAAAGACTGAAGAGACACAAGAAGGATGCCATGTGAAGATGAAGGCAGAGCTAATGATGATGCTTCCATAAGCTAAGAAATTCCAAAAAATGCCAGCAAACCACCAAAAACTAAGAGTGAGACACATAACATATTGTCTCTCCCAACCCTTAGAAAGAACCAATCCTGCTGACACCTTCATCTTGGACTTCCAGCCACTACAACTGTGAGATGTCCATAGTATAAGCTACCTAATTATGAAACTTTGTTATAGCAGCTCTAACAAATTAATACAAGGGGTCAGAAAACAGTATGGGAAAGAGCAAATATTTTAGGCTTTATGGGCCAGTCAGTCTCTAAACCACTAGTATTTAATACCACTGCTATTGTAGCATGAAAGCAGCCAGAGACAATACATAAATGAATGAGTCTATGTATTGTGTGGTTCAGCGCTTATTTATAAAATGGTAGTGGGCAGCATGTAGCCTAGAGTCCATGGTTTGCTTACTCCTGAAATAAAGTATGCAGAAAATAAAAGAGTGGTTGGCTCTGTAACCAAACTCCTCTCCCCCAGTGCTATAAACATACATATATGTGCCTATCAGGAAAGACCACGTTCAGGAGGAATGTAAAGGATATAAGGAAGGGAAAGGAGCCTGAATGGAGGAATTTACATCCTCAATCTACCACATTCAAAACTAGAAATGATATTTAGCTTGTAAGTTTTTTCCAGCAGTAAAACTGCTGAAATAGTATTTTCAAAAAGTTAAATATAATGTTTATATGAACATGTCAAAGATTTTATCCAATTCATTAGTGAAGGAACCAGTGAGACATTTAGACAAGTTCAAAAAGAGAATTAGAACAGATTTTATATACATACAGAGTCAGAAATGCTGAAATTAATTTTCTTATAAAACTGGCTAATATTTTTTAAGGGAATAAAATATAATGTTTGGGTAGTCTTTTCTACAAGCGTAAGTGAGTTGTATTACACTGGGAAAAATTCATTTGCATTGTTATGAATGACAATCATATGCATTACCATCTTTTTTCCATAAGATAACATCTATCCCTCTAGAGAATGGTAAAATAGATTAGTCAACAGAAAATCAGTCAGAGATGTGCATTCCTGTAGAATCAGATAATCCCTGGAGCGCCTGCTAGAAAATGGCAAGCCTCTGTCACCATGCAGTGGCATCATTGCACACCCACTGATTGCTTTTCCCCATTTTCAGACCATGGATGATTTTTCTCAACATAAGCCAGACTGACTTTAGTTACTAAAGAAAGTTTCAGTTTTATACATCTGGCACACATGAGGTATAATGAGTAAAACATTTAAATGTGCTATAAACAAAACATGTAAATAACTGTGTGACAAGCTATGAACCCTGGAGAAGATAGAAAGTGGAATGTGGCATCAGGAAATTGAGAACAACTGATAGCCTTGATTAATGTCACATATTAGAATTATTGGCGCAAAGGAATACTCTTCCTCATATGACCTGCCTGTTTTTTCCTAAAAAGTGGATACTTCCCATCAACATCATCATCATAACAGCAAAACAATAATTTCAGCTAACATTCATTGAGAGGTCATTTTGTTCCAGGCACTTTAAGGGCTTTACATGTATTTTCTCATTTACTTCTTACAACAAAAGTAACAGTATCCTAATCTTGCAAGTGAGGACACTGAGGACTCAGTGGTTAAGTAACTTATGCAAGGTCACCTACCTAATCAGTGATAGAATTAAGACTGGGACGAAAGCACTCTTAACACCAGTGTTTTTTATGTAGCTCTCATCAGAGCTCTTGTTGGGAGAGAAACTTCACTGCAATTGCAGCATCTATCTACTTCCCAACAACTAACAGAATAGAGCCTCCAATTCAACCCTTGGGAACCTTCAAAACCTGAGAGAAGGAAAATACTGTTAATAGTGGGCAGAAGCCTGAGGTACTAAAGACTGATGAGATATAAGAAGCATTTGAGAGCTGGGACTCATATCTCACATAGGTTGAATGGAATTTCCTGAGGCAAAGTGGCAGACATATCACACAGTGTAGTATGTGTTCAGTTCAGTTCAGTCTCTCAGTCATGTCCGACTCTTTGCGACTCCATGAATCACAGCACACCAGGCCTCCCTGTCCATCACCAACTCCCGGAGTTTACCCAAACCCATGTCCATGGAGTCAGTGATGCCACCCGGCCATCTCATCGTCTGTCGTACCCTTCTCCTCCTGCCCCCAATCCTTCCCAGCATCAGGATCTTTACCAATGAGTCAACTCTTCACATGAGGTGGACAAAGTATTGAAGTTTCAGCTTCAACATCAGTCCTTCTAATGAACACCCAGGACTGATCTCCTTCAGGATGGACTGGTTGGATCTCCTTGTAGTCCAAGGGACTCAAGAGTCTTCTCCAACACCACAGTTCCAAAGCATCAATTCTTCAGCATTCAGCTTTCTTTACAGTCGAACTCTCACATCCATACATGACTACTGGAAAAACCATAGCCTTGACTAGACAGACCTTTGTTGGCAAAGTAATTAATGTCTCTGCTTTTAAATATACCATCTAGGTTGGTCATAACTTTCCTTCCAAGGAGCAAACATCTTTCAATTTCATGGCTGCAATCACCATCTGCAGTGATTTTGGAGCCCAAAAAAATAAAGTCTGACACTGTTTCTGCTGTTTCCCCATCTATTTCCCATGAAGTGATGGGACCAGATGCCATGATCTTAGTTTTCTGAATGTTGAGCTTTAAGCCAACTTTTTCACTCTCCTGCACTTTCATCAAGAGGCTTTTTACTTCCTCTTCACTTTCTGCCGTAAGGGTGGTGTCATCTGCATATCTGAGGTTACTGATATTTCTCCCGGCAATCTTGATTCCAGCTTGTGCTTCTTCCAGACCAGAGTTTCTCATGATGTACTCTGCATATAAGTTAAATAAGTAGGGTGACAATATACAGCCTTGACGTACTCCTTTTCCTATTTGGAACCAATCTGTTTTTCCATGTCCAGTTTTAACCATTGCTTCCTGACCTGCATACAGGTTTCTCAAGTTCAGGGCAGCCTGAAAGGACGGCTACAGAAGGAAACTTAGAAGAGTAAGTAGAAGTCAAACAGAGGGTGCATCCACAGGGGCCATCCTCTAAAAGTATGAACTGGAGATCTCCTCCCCACTCCTATTCATGTATAATACAGAAAAAAATGTGCTAATGTTACAATTTCCATTCCTTCTTTGAACTCTTTTGAGTAACTTTCATACCTCTCTGCAAAGGAAATTACACCTGTTCAGGGTATTTTCTACAAGGGAAAGATGAACACAGAAGCAGTAAGGAAGGAAACTGCATCTAATTCCTGATCACTTCTAAATTTCCCTTAGGGTTACACAATAACCCTAAGATAACCACAAGATGGCAGTCAACTCTCGAAACCTCAGAAACAATCAGACTAAATTCATCTGATCTGTTTGTCTCCTAACATGAAGGCAAAGGAACAGCCCCCTTCCTCTCTGGCTATCTGCCATACCAGGACAGCAATGGTAAACTGGAGTGTAAGATTCAGAGGTGGTGGAGCTCCAGGAGACAAAGTCCAGGCTGTGGTCACATGAGTGGGTACAGTGAAGTAAAGCTTTGAGCCTAACGTGCTGCATGGATTGTCACAACCATGTGATACCCAGAGTGATAGTAGGTTTTAGAGTAAAAGAGTTTATGAATTTTGAATAAATGAGGGAACATAACATGACACAGGTGCGAAGAACTGACTCACTAGAAAAGACCCTGATGCTGGGAAAGACTGAAGGCAGGAGGAGAAGAGGACGACAGAGGATGAGACGGTTGGATGGATCACTGACTCAATGGACATGAGTTTGAGTAAACTCCGGGAGTTGATGGACAGGGAAGCCTGGCGGGCTGCAGTCCATGGGGTGGCAAAGAGCGACTGAACTGAAGTGAACTGAACTGAACATAACACAAATGATAGCCAAAAAAAAAACCAAAAAAAACCTGTGTCAGAATAGTCTAGGCCTTTCTTTGATCTCATGTGTATAAAAGTAATAGTCCTTCAGTACCTCCATCTAGCAACTCAAGTTCTATGACCCTAATTATGTACAATAGCTACTGGAATGCTATGAAATTTGAAATTTTTTTTTCCATGGCAAAAAAAAAAATGCCATTTTGGTTGTTAACAAAGAGTTTGGGATTCATTCCAATCCCAAAGAAAGGCAATACCAAAGAATGCTCAAACTACCGCAAAATTGCACTCATCTCACACGCCAGTAAAGTAATGCTCAAAATTCTCCAAGCCAGACTTTAGCAATACATGAACTGTGAACTTCCAGAAGTTCAAGATGGTTTTAGAAAAGGCAGAGGAACCAGAGATCAAATTGCCAACATCCGCTGGACCATCGAAAAAGCAAGAGAGTTCCAGAAAAACATCTATTTCTGCTTTATTGACTATGCCAAAGCCTTTGACTGTGTGGATCACAAGAAACTGTGGAAAATTCTGANGAGTCCCTTGGACTGCAAGGAGATCCAACCAGTCCATCCTAAAGGAGATCAGTCCTGGGTGTTCACTGGAAGGGCTCATGTTGAAGCTGAAACTCCAATAGTTTGTCCACCTGATGCGAAGAGCTGACTCATTTGAAAAGACCCTGATGCTGGGAAAGATTGAGGGCAGGAGGAGAAGGTGACGACAGAGGATGAGATGATTGGATGGCTCACCGGGTCAGTGGATATGGGTTTGGGTGAACTCCAGGAGTTGGTGATGGACAGGAAGGCCTGGCATGCTGTGGTTCATGGGGTCACAGAGTCTGACACAACTGAGTGACTGAACGGAACGGATACTCATTTTACCACAACTGTAAATCCATTAGAAGTGGAAGTGGAAGTCACTCAGTCATATCCAACTCTTTGAGACCCCATGGACTGTAGCCCACCAGGCTCCTCTGCCTGTGGAATTCTCCAGGCAAGTATACTAGAGTGGATAGCCATTCTCTTCTCCAGAGGATCTTCCCAACCCAGGGATCGAAGCCTGGTCTCCTGCATTGCAGATGGATAATTTACCATCTGAGCCACCAGGGAAGTCCGTAAATCCATTAAGCTTACCTTTATTACATAGTAGGCCTGAGTTTTCTCCTCTTCCCCTTCAGGAGGCAGCATAACAACAGTAAGAATTTCATATCTATTCTTCAGCTTATCGATTTTACTTAGCCGCTCATGAAACTCAGCACTAACATGAAAAGAAAAATTAAACACTGAAAAACAAACAATATACTTTTTTAAAGGACTATACTGTTCTTAGAGAAGACATCTGTATTTGTGTTACTACTGGAACAGTTTAAATAGGTTCTCACTTTGCAGTTTTACACTTCTGTTTGAAAATAGGAAATCAGTCCTGAATATTCATTGGAAGTATTGATGCTAAAGCTGAAACTACAAATACTCTGGCCACCTGATGTGAAGAACCAACTCATTGGAGAAGACCCTGATGCTGCAAAAGATTGAAGGTGAGAGGAGAAGGGGATAACAGAGGATGAGATGGCTGGATGGCATCACTGACTCCTTGCATATGAATTTGAGTAGGCTCTGGGAGTTGGTAATGGACAGGGAAGCCTGGCGTGCTGCAATTCATGGGGTCACAAAGAATCGGACAACTGAGCAACTGAACTGAACTGAACTGTGAAAGGTCTCAGATTTCACCCTATTTGAAAGCTGAAAGCTACCAAGTTAGTCTGCCACTTTCATGGATGCTGGCAGAAAACACAAGATATCTGGGTCACAGAAAAAGGACTTTAGCACTCATTGGCATACCAAGTAGCATGAGCTGCCTATTTGCATTGGTTCCCCTTGCTCCTGAAGTCACATGCAAGTGAGGAGGGACTCAAATGGATGCTGCACATACAGTAGGTTTATGTCACAACTGAAGAACTTAAGCTTAGCTAATCCAAATATTTCATAATGGGAAATAAGCAAACATACCTAACCTTTGCTCTGGAGGGAGATACTATCTCTAGCTCTCAAGGCTATTCACTATCCAAATAGCCTTTAAAAGATAGTCCAATGCAAACCAAAACCACAATAAAATATCACCTCACACCCGTGAGAATGGCTACTATCAAAAAGACAAAAAAAATAACAAAGTGTTGGTGAGGGTGTAGAGAAACTGAAACTTTAAGAACTCTTGATGGGACAGTAAAATGGTACAACCACTATGAAAAATATGGCAGTTCCTCAAAAAATTAAAAATTAAATAGCCGTATGATCCAGTCATCCTACTTTTGGGTATATATCCTAAAGAACTGAAAACAGTTTTCAAAGACATGTCTGCACATTGATGTTCATATATTATTCACAATAGTTCACAATAGCCAATAAGTGGAAGCAAGCCAAATGTCCATAGGCAGATGAAACTGTGATACATACATACAATGAAGTATTATTCAGCCTTAGAGAGAAAATCTGTCACATGCTACATGGGTGAGTCTTGCGGACATTATGCTAAATAAAATAAGCCAGTCACAAAAAAACAAATATCAATACTACATGATCCACTTATGTGAGGCATCTAGTGTAGTCAAATTCATACAGGCAGAAAAAAATAGTGGCTATCAAGGGCTAGGGGAAGGGGAAAATGCAAAGCTAATATTTAATGGGTATAAAGTTTCAGTTTTACAAGATGAAAAAGTTCTAGAGATCTGTTGCTCAAAAATGTGAAAATACTAATACTACTAACTGTACAGTTTTAAATAGTTAAGATAAATTTTAGGTGTTTTTCACCAAAAAATTTTCAAAAACATGGTCCAGAGAACAGGATAGCTATTTCCTCTCCTTGTAAGGTATGTAGAATTATGAGAAACCTTTGGAGAGATTTCAGCCTTAAAATTGCTGGTTACTTTCTTCCTTTTATTCCAGTAAATTTATATTCTTAAATCATTTTTAACTTATTTTGTAATAATACTAATAATGCTAATATGTGTACAGCAACATGGAGACTCATTTGCCTGCTACAGCTTCATGAAAATAAGCCAACAACAATAAAAAGAAATCTTCAACATACCAGGTTCCTACTCCTAAAGAAAGTTGATGGTAAAATATAGTATCAGAAGTTATAGCTTTGCTTATTTTTAAGTATTAATATTGTTTCATCAGAAAATATTTACTCATCCTTTACGTGATTGCAAAAGACAAGCCTTGTTGGCCTTTCAGGTTGAGATGGTGAACCAAGCACAAACATATGTCTCCCCCTTCCTAAAACAGAAAATATTAAAAGGAAAAAAAAAAACTTACCACAGCTCTGAAAACAAGAAAGATAATTTTCTTTATGAATGAAAAAATGGAAAACACATGTCATATGATCAAGAGGAGGAAAAAAAGGAGATACAGAAGATTATGCAGAAATAAGAGACACTTTTCTTGAAAGAAGTCTGTAGAAAATTTTTTCTAGAGAAAAATAAGAAATTTACTAAAACAGATGCAAGAAAAAATAAAAGATCCACACTGCCCCATAACCAATAAATAAACTGAACCAACAGTTCAACTGAACTAAATCTTCCTCAAAAAGCTCCAGATGTCCAAAGGCTTTACCAGTGAGGTGTTCAAAAGTTCAAGAAAGATGTAATTCTGCTCTTTTACAAACTTACCTAGAGTATAGAAAAAAAAGAAACACAAAAATCATTTTATAAAAGTAGATGTAACCTTAATAACCTGATAATTTGACAAGGACAGGAGAGAAAGAAGAACTATAAGCATAGAATGTAAAAATTATATAAAAATATTAGCAAACAAAATCTAGATATATACAAAATATAATATGTGACAGTTACATTTACTACAGGAAGGTACGTTAGTTTAACTTTGAAAAAGCAATCAATATACAGTTTTCAATTATACTAACAGATTGAAGAAGCTGTATCATATCAACGACTGAAAAAAAAATCACATAATAAAAGTCAACATTCATTTCTGATTAAACAAATTAAAACAACCTCTTAGCAAAGAATGAAAATAGATGGGATCTCTCTTCATATTGTAAAAAGAATCTCAAAAAACACTATAGTAAACTTGATACTTAATGATAAAACAATGAACACTTTCCCTTTGAGATCAAGCACCTGCAAGACAAGGGTGCCTGCAATCACCATTACTATTAGGCATTGAACCAGAGGTTAAATAGCAAGGACAAGAAAGCAAGAACAAGAAAAGTTATAGAGGTTGAAAAGGAAGACACAAAACTGTTGTTTGCAAATAATGTCAATTGAATACCTGGAAGGTAGAATCTACAGATCAACTGTTAGAATTAATAAAAGTTAAAGCACGTTGCTGAATACTTAATATATAGAAACCAACTGCATTTCTATATACTAGCAACAAATCAAATATGAAATGCTTTATAAAGAGATAACATTGACAGTAACATTTAAAAAGTAGCATGTATCCAAAAATAAATCTTATACAAGATAGGTGAAATCTCTAGGGGAAAATTGCTTCAATAAATGCAGCTATTGGGTATCCATAACAGAAAGTATGTTATTGGACCCTTGGGCATGCGTGCACACTCAGTTGCTTCAGTCATGATCGACTCTGTGCAACCCCACAGTCATAGACCAATAGGCTTCTCTGTCCATGGGATTTTCCTGGAAAGAATACTGGAGTGGGTTGCCATGCTCTTTTCCAGGGGATCCTCTCAACCCAGGGGGGAACTTGGGTCCCCCTGCAGGATCCTGAACCCGCATCTCCTGCATCTCCTGCATTGCAGGCAGACCCATAAGGGAAAGCATGTTATTGAACCCTTACCACAAACTATATACAAAAATAAATTTCAAGGGGACTGGTGATCTTAACATAAAGTGATACATCTGCAGAACAAGGAGTTAGCCTAAGGAGAGAGAGAGAGAGAAAAGCATAGATTTGCTGCTAAAATATGGTCTATGTATTATATTAATCTTCCCTGGTGGTTCAAACAGTAAAGATTCTGCCTGCAATGCTGCAGACCCAGGTTCAATCCCTGGGTTGCGAAGATCCCTTGGAGAAGGAAATGACTACCCACTCCAGTATTCCTGCCTGGAGAATTCCATGGACAGAGGAGCCTGGCTACAGTCTATGGAGTGGCAAAAGAGTCAGACACGACTGAGTACACACACACACATTATATTAATAGCCTTTTTTAACAAATAAGAAAAAGATGGACATCCAAAGTGGTGGAGGGAGCAGTCAGTTCTTCTAACATTACACTTAATGTTTTCAAACTTCATTAGCAATATTTTAAAATTCTAATTATTACCTTATATTTTGCCGTTCTTGATCAACATATCTTATTTGTGATGCAAGCATTGTTTTGTGAACCTTAATTTCTTCGGTCCGTTCTTCCATAGCTGTGTGTAATTGTTGTTTTCTTTTTTCTAGAGAAAGAACTTCTTCTGCCTTACTGTGAAGCAGTTCTCGAGTACGTTTAACCTCAAGTTTTAAAAGATTGTCTTCTATCATCAAATCCTATTAACAAAATCATCAAATATTGAAACAATTATTTGTATAACCAATCCAAAATATGTTTCTTTTTTATTGCTACAAAAGTCAAACTTGAAAATAGAATTTTTTCCAATTTGACCATTTTCCAAGATATTAATTAGGGTTAAGTTTAGATTGCTCTGAGTCATAACTCTGCTTTTCCCTTTTAAGAGAAGGGTTTATGACTATTCCAACTTTTATTATAATGTAATTGTAAATTCAAGTTTTATTAATAATAAAAAACCAAAAAGAAGTTATTCCTAAAATTGAAAGTTACAATATCCAGAAAATATATGATGCCCTATGGATAAGAATTTTTATATTTTAAACTAATTATTACAAGATAATGTGTAAATACACCGAGGAAACCAGATCTGAAAGAGACACGTGCACCCCAATGTTCATCGCAGCACTGTTTGTAATAGCCAGGACATGGAAGCAACCTAGATGCCCATCAGCAGACGAATGGATGAGGAAGCTGTGGTACATATACACCATGGAATATTACTCAGCCATTAAAAAGAATTCATTTGAATCAGTTCTA